TATGCACATAGCTGGTAACCATAATCAGATGCACTTAAACTTCTTGCAATCTGCCATGGCAGTAGTATTATTTGTTACTGCTTATGCTTCCATTCACTTTTGAGGTTTATCCTCCCTTATTTACAAGATTAGTTAAATATATAACAGTTAATCATCACATAATAATCACATTAGTTCATTCGTGACTTTATTACTACTTTCAAATATAAATGAATAGACTGATTTTGTACTCCTTCACCTGCTTACTTAGGAGGAGATCCTACTGAAAAACATGGAAAAAAATTCAGTAGTGCTTTAATGTTTAAAACTAAGTATGCTGGATCAGATACAGGGAAAAAAAGAAGAGCTGAGTGGAGGTTCAGAAAGAGAAGCATTTCGAAAATGATCATGGCCTCACGTTATTAAACACCTTGCTTTAAAGGCAAACTGTAAAAACTAAGTTTTTTAAAAGAATGGAAATATTACAAGGTAAAGGTTCCCCTTGAACATATGTGCTAGTCATTCCCAACTCTAGGGGGCAGTGCTCATCTCCATTTTAAAGTCGAAGAGCCAGCGTTATCCGAAGATGTCTCTGTGGTCATGTGGCCAGCATGACTAAACAAAGGTGCATGGAAGGCTGTTGTTACCTTCCCACCAAAGGTGGTCCCTATTTTTCTACTTGCATTTTTTATGTGCTTTCGAACTGCTAAGTTGGCAGAAGCTGGGACAAGTAATGGGCGTTCACTCCATTATGCAGAACTAGGGATTTGAAACGCCGAACTGCTGACCTTTCTGATCGACAAGTTCAGCATCTTAGCCACTGGGCCACCGGGTCCCTTCCAACATTACAAAGTCTATACCTAATGAAGAAATTATAGAAAGGGGTCTGCAGAGAAGTTATTTTAAAGGATCTGGAGGACCATTGGAGTATGGCAGATGTCACCCCTGGGATTGTTCTATCTTTGGCTGCACCCTACCTATTTGAGATGGACCTTAGAAATAGATCCAAGTGTTTAAGCAGATTGACAAAGTAGAAGAACTGGATTCTACGCTAGGTATTGATGATTAAAGTTGTTGGTAAAGTTTTCAGAGGATGAGAAACAGGATTGAGAGAATTGGTGTATATTGTTGGCCTCTGTGTGGGGACTTTCAAATTGTTTTGTTGCTTTGCATGTTTGGCTGTTAAGTCAATCTATAAGAGATCTCTCAAGGATTGATAAACTGGGAAAGAAACTTTGTGAGAAATCTGACTGGTTTCAGATGTTAGGTAGGTATTAGAGAAAAAGGTACTACTAATGGCTCATGATTTCTGTTTTGTCATGATTCCTCATAAAATCCAAAGTAAAATATTTGTTTCTCTCTCTCCTCCTATCTTCAATGAAAGGTTGGGAGGGAAATAGTGCATCTATGGTATTGTTGTGAGGAATGAAGAAAAAATAAAAGTTCAAGGTCAATGACACAGCAGGTAGTAGCATCTAGCTAATGTTGGCTGACATCAAAAAGCTTACAAGGGTCAAATGCAGCAAATACAAGTAGTCCTCAACTTACAACAGTTTGTTTAGTGACCATTCAAAGTTACAACGGCACTGAAAAGTGTGACCTATGACCATTTTTCACAGTTACGACCTTTTCAGCATCCCCATGATCATGTGATCAAAATTCAGGTGCCTGGCAACTGGTTCATATTTATAACGGTTGCAATGTCCCAGAGTCATGTGATCATCTTTTGCAACCTTCTGACAAGCAAAGTTAATGGGGAAGCCAGGTTCACTTAACTAACTTAACAACTGCAGTGATTCACTTAACAACTGTGGCAAGAAAGGTCGTAAAATGGGGCAAAAATCACTTAACAAATATCTCATAGGAATTTTGGGCTCAATTGTGTTCGTAAGTCAAGGATTACCTGTATTTGGACGGAAGATCACCAGGAGATTGGACTAAATTGGGCAGCCTGAACAAATTTCCAAATAAGGATCCAGAAGAAAATAGTGAATAGCTTCTTTATTATTTCTGGGAAAACTACGGTACATAAACTACGGTTTGCTAAACTATAAGTGATGTGAATGTCTGAACTCTATAGCCTTTTACTTATGCAAGTAGTCTTTGGCTTATGACCACTAGTGACTCAAAATTCAGTCACTAGGTGATGGTTAAGCAAATCGTCATATGACCGGACTTCATTTTACAACCATTTTTACTGTGGTTGCAAAGTGAAACACCACAGACATTGAGTCACATGACTCTTAAGCGAATCTGACTTCCCCAGTTGACTGTACTTGTTGGAAGCCAGCTGGGAAGACCGCAAATCACAAACATGTAACCACAAGACGCTGTACCCATCATCAACGTGAACTGATTGCCAAGTGGCCAAATTGCAATCACAAGGATCATAACTTTGAGTATGGATCATAAGTCACATTTTCCAAGATCATCGTAACTTCAAATTATTAAACAATAAGTCAAGGATTACCAATAATTCAAGTATGGTATGGATCAGAGGTGGGTTGCTTCCGGTTCGGCCTGGATTGGGCAAACCAGTAGTAGCAGTGACTGGAGGCTCCACCCACCCGCCCGGATGCTTCTGCGCATGTGAGCATGGGAGCACGCCCGAACCTGTAGTAAAAAAATTGGCAACCCGCGACTGGTATGGATCTTGCTAAGAACAGTGATACAGTTTCTCATAGCTGAAGTCTCTTGGGGTATTCAATTTTTCTCAGAAAGGGCCAACAGGTCTGAAATGTATGCATGGTACACAAAAGTTAGGTTCAATTGACAGAATAACCCAATTAGCCATTCTCTTGGTGAGTGGACCATCTCCACCTGCAGATAGTTTATGACCAACAATGACCTAGTGAAGAGGGGAGCAGCCATTTCCTCATCTGCTAGAAAGATGTCACTTCCCGTTTTTTCCACCATTGGAACTTTTTTTCACCGAAGGATTGGGTTTGCACTGAAAACTAAAAGGGGGACAAAGTTCCCCCTGTTTTCATGGTGACTTTTCTAGGGCCTGTTCAAAAAGGGGAAGAGTCAGAAAGCTCTAGGTTCAAGTGAAACACATCCCTTCTGCATTGGTTCTCCTAGTTCTGGTGTTTGCATGACACTTTCCTCAACCCAGTTAGCGAAGTTGTGCGAATGAGAATGAGAACAGAAAGCCTAGAAATATTGTCATTGCCAAACAAAAAACAACCCCCCTGTAAAGGTAGCTTTCCATTCCAAACAACCACAGAAACCAAGTCACAGATGTTTGTCCCACATCTAGAAGTGAGCATTACTCCACAAAATTCATTCAGATGCTCCAATTCATCTGTTTATCTCTAAGGGAGCATGCAACCTTCAGTTGCAACAGACCATAAGATGGCTACCTGTCAGTTAGCTAATCATGTCTATTTCTCGAAAATGAACGTCGGAGGTTCATCTTCTCCCATCAAAATATTGCTCCTCAGATGTGCCTTCTCAGGTTTTCTTCCGCTGCCCTCTCAAATGATAGAAAGTACACCTTCAGTGCCCATTTAATTTCAAAATCTCCATTCCGAGTGCTCTCGAGAAGCTGATTTTAGTAAGACAAATGGCTGTGTGGACTGGAAATGGAAGCCTTTGTGCAGAGATGTATATTTCTGCTTAATAATGAATGCCTTGTAGAAAGCACAAAAGGCCAAGCCTGGGGAGACGGAGAGGAAATGCATCATCCACAGCTTCACATTCAACCCTTCACACATGCAAAGCTCATCCATGGCCCAGTAGCCAGGAACAGCAAGGATGTCTCCTCCCTACTTCCTGCCTAAAAAAAAAAAGGGAGGCTCCTTTACCATGAATGCCCCCCCACTTCTAGGCATAACATGTTGTCCACTGATTCAGAGCTCAACTGTGAGCTCTGAATGTGGAAAGAATCCAAGCACCTCAACCAGCAAAGCCAGCTTCTTAAAAGCCAACAGGAGTTCTGTTTGATCGGCTCTGGGAAGCTGAGGCCATGCCTCCTGCTGCAATCAACCTGACAGTCTATGTTGCCTTGACAGCCGCAATATTGATCTTCTTGCTTATCCTCAAGGAGACCAGAGAAGGTTTCCCACCCAGAGAGAGGGGCAGTGCTTGTGAATCACCGACTTTAGGGAATCAGCTCTCCCAATAATCGCCATCCCATTTATTATTATTTTTTCAAGAGGGGAAAATTGGGGTGGGGGCGTAGAGTGGAATTAAGATCAGGAGCCGCACTGGTTTGCTGCCTGCTGGGAAAGCCTGTTGTTTCTCATCGTCTGAATCATATGAACGAGACACATAATGCAGTGGGGGGGGCATGTGGGAGTCGAAAGCAAAGGCAAGGAATATGTTGGAACCGAACATGCAATGGTACATTTTAGAAAAGGAAAAAGAAAAGAAAAGGAGGTTAATCTTGCTGTGCTTTTTGCCACCTTCTAGTGGGTGAATTGACCCAATCTGTGATTTTCACGCTGTCTCCTCCACTGAAAAGGCAGTTCTATGGGGAGGATGTGCTACGCTGCATTACTAGTAAATGAACTATACCTTGATAAACAACAGGGTGAATAATATTACAAAAGACTGTATTGTCAGCTAAAAATGCTAGCCGATACAATATATTTCTGTGGTGGTGCGATTTGAAGTATCCTCTTCAGCCCACCACCCCCGTTTTCTCAGTCTGCTTCAATATTCCTCGACCATTTTTGTTAACGCACAAAATAAAACAACCTGGAAAAATGTATCACTTGTGGCTGAGCACCCAGCCCAAGCAACAATGCATTTTGACTTGAGCAAGGGAAGGGAAGCGAATCTTGGCCATACCTTCTGGAAGCAGCCTGTAAGAGATGAAACTGTTCCTCCTATAATGGAGGAACGCAAAACTCAGTACACCCCCAGCCCAAATGCACCTCTCTCTAATCTCCTTGTTGCATCCAAAATAAATGGTCCAGCAGATGCATCAGCAGGAGACAGGGACAATCAGTTAACAGGGCCTGATAGGGACTACATAAATCCGGCAATGAAATATTCCCTTAAACCCTTTATCTTACCTGAGAAGAAGAGTGATAAATTAGAGCATCAGCAGGAGAACCATTATCCATAGATCTGCATATGCCGTGGTTGCCTTACCGCAGCTGCCCAGGTTCTTCAAGATAGGAGCTTCCAAAATCTCCCATTTTTACACCGTCTCAGGGACAAAAAATGATCCACCCCCCCAAAAATGGAAAAGAAACCTTTACAGGAACCTCCTGCCCTGGCGTCTTTCTCTAAGGATCATTCCGTGTTCCCCAACATCCGTAAGGGAGGGGGTGCTTGTGGGGGAATTAAAAAAAAAGAGGGAAGGAAGAAAAGAGACTGCTCTGTATTTAAATAATGAAATGAAAACCAAGTCTGCAAATTAAGGGATAGCGCCATCTACTGGCAAAAGGAACGAATGTTATTTTTTCCGGCGTCTTGTTTTTGCACCCCTGTGACAGAAGCTGCATCGTTAGTCACATATTCTCGTTTTAAGGACTAAAAATACACCAACTTTAAACAAGGAAACGACAGACGTTTTATTTGATTGCACCAAATAAGGGGAGGGGGTGACAATAATGTAACCCCATTTTAGAAAATCTTTCCTCATGCACACGGCCTTGCATGCCATTATTTATCTTGAGGCTCCCCCTACCCTTCTGTAGATCAATCACATTGAAACGATAGGAATGAAAGGGTTCTCAGCCCATCTGCCAAAAAAGCACTTGCAATATCTGTCGTAGGCGGGTTTGCAAGGTGCAACTTTAAATTAGAAGATTTTGCACAACTTTGGAATGACAATCATCATCAACAAAACAGGGGAAGACCAATATTGCTGAACATATCCCTGTTATAAAGAAAAGAAAAGAGAAGGAAAAAAAGTAGTGGTATGACTGTTAATTGAATCTCAGAAGATAAATTCGAAATTGTGCGCTGCAGATCACTAAAGACAATTCTTCAGTGCAAACTATATATATAAACATACATACATACACACACACACACATACATACATACATATATTTACATGACAGTGAGTCTATGGGCTTACTCCTATTTATCAGTGCTGTTTATCAAATGGCCCCTATAAGTAAGGCCCTTTCATCACTTCTTCAAAAAAGCCTTTTGACATTTATACTATCCATGACACTGACTTTGGATCAATATTTTCACAGTTTGCCCTTTCACAATTTGCCCTAAAAATAAAAAAATAAAAACCCTTGAACCAAACAATAAATCGCTGAAATATTTTATGCCACTTTAGAAAGTTATTCAGTATTTGAAGGACTAGCATATAGAAAAGGAAAATTAAGTTACACTATGTACTATTATTCATCCTGTCATGTATATTACTTAAATTGAGATGAATTGCTGATTTGTTTTGCTGTTTATTTCCTACCTTCATTATTTTTACAAAAACCTCAAGGCAGCAAATACATCTGGCTTCTCCTATTTTCCCCAGAACAACAACCCTGTGAATTATATTGGGTTGAGAGAGAGAGAGAGTCACTAGTTCCCAAATTGATTTTTCATGGCTAAAGCAGGATTTTAAATATTGGTCTCCTGCTTTCTAGTCTGGTGCCTTAACTAGTAGACCACAGGTGTCAAACTCAGTTGTGTCACATGACGTATCGTGATGCATCGCGATGTTTTTTGCCTTTGAGGAGCCGGGGCAGGCATGGCCTGCCCAAAGGCCACCATTTTGACAGACATGTACTAGACCAAATTGGTACTGATTGATTGATTGATTAGATTTGATTTGATTTGTACAGCCACACATCTCAACAAGTGATTCTTCAAGTGGTTCTTCATTATGTTTCATCAATTTCTTGACAACAATTATGAACTACTTTTTAAAATTAATTTTTAAATTAAAATTGTCCCCTTTAACATTCATACTTACAGTAATGATAAATGTTGATATAATTGAAATATTTACTATATTTAATAGTAAATATTTAATACTAGCTGAATAACCATGCTCCGCTACGAAACTATGTGATCGGCCTTGATAAATCAACACTTACAGCTTGAAAATGAATGAGTAGTTATGATCAGTCTTTCCTCTCCCTTCTCCCCTCAGGCTTGCTTCGCAGAGGCCTCTCCTAACCTATCCCCTTCTCTCCCACTCCATAGGCCAGATGAGTCAACGTGCTGGCCACGCCCAAGTGGCAGTTGGAACAGAGTTATTTTCAGGTTGGGAGGGAGAGTAGAACGTCATGAGAGCATTAATAATAATATAAGAAATACTAATGATCTGATGGTCATTTTGAAAAATCCTTTGTTAGCAAGCACCTAGAAGACAAGAGGCACATACGTGCCAAATTTCAAGTTTGTAGGCTTTATGGTTCTGGCGCTTTCGTGATGTTGCCTGAGTGGCATTTTGCTCTTATATATATAGATTTACTATATTGTTATAGATTGGGATACAAACCTGTATTCATGAGGTTAGACCCAGTAGACAATGATAGTTCTGATTCATTAATGTGGAGAAAAGAATATAGTATTGTGTATTAGCTATTTTTGACATTATCATTCTAAGCAATGAAATCTCTTTTAAGTTTCTTTTAAGCTTTAGTACTGTATAAACACTATGATTCAGGGAAACTTCACTTAGCTTGGAATTAACCTTAAAAGAAAAATAGATAAATCTGAATTCTGCTTAACTGGGAATGGAGAAGGCATTCATAGACATTTATTCTGGACAACTCTTAGTAGCAAGACTATTTACGGATCATTTCTAATTTTAAGAATTATAGTATCATTAACTAGTAATAATCAATTATATTTGCTACTACTGAATTGTACAAGTAGTCCTCAATTTATAGCAGTTCTTTTAGTGACTGAAGTTATAACACCAATGAAAAAAACTGACTTACGAACATTTTTCCAAATTTATGACCACTGCAGCATCCCCATGGTCACATGATCAAAATTGAGACACTTGGCAACTGGCTCATACTTATGATGGTTGCAGGGTCCCAGGGTCATATCCTTCGTTGACCAGCAAAGTCAATGGGGGAAACAGATTCATTAAACTGTATTACTAACTTTACATAGTACAGTGATTCACTTAACAACTGTGGCAAGAAAGGTCGTAAAATGGGGCAAAACTCTCTTAACAACAGCTATATTTCCTTAAGCCTAGAAACCAGTTCAAAGGACAGCAGTGCAGCTTGGATCTTTTGCATGTATAGTTTTCAACCCACATACTTTTAATGTGCTTTTCCCCGACCTGCATCGTTTTGACAAACTGCAGTTAATCCGTATAACCCATTTTGCCACAATGTTTTTGTGTTACAAAAATAGCCTTAGGTGTGAAAATTAATACATTTTCATTAAGACTGGAAATAGAATGCTTGGCAAAATTTAGCAACATCATTTATAGAGCAACGAACTGACTTGTAATGTACATTATTCCTGTGTAATACCATGTGAAATTTATAAGTATGCCTGGCATATGAAAGTTCCGTGTTTGGAATAAAAATGACTACAAAATTGTTCGGTGTTTTTACACAAAGGCAAGCAGTATATCACTCTCCTAGGTTAGCCACAGAACAGAAAAAATGTTTGCCGTATATTTATCAAATATAAAGCCATTTTACTAATGAGTGAATCCTCAATATAGGTGGTCCTTAACTTACAACTGTCTGTTCAAAGTTACAACATTACTGAAAAAAGCGAGTTGTGACTGTTTCTTGCACTTATGACAGTTGCAGCATTGCCATAATTACGTGGTTAAAATTTGGATACTTGGCAACTGGCATGTATTTATAATGGTGGCAGTGTCCCGGAGTCATGGGATCATCTTTTGTGATGTCTGAAAAGCAATACCAATGGGAAAGCCAGATTCACTTAACAGTTATGTTACTAACTTAACAACTGTAGTGATTCACTTAAGAACTCTGGCAAGAAAGGTAGTAAAATGGGTCAAAACTCCCTTAACAACTGTCTTGCTTAGCAACATAAATTTCGGACTTAATTGTGGTTGAAAATCGAGGACTGCCAGTAATCTCTTCATGAACTTTATAGAGTAGCGTATAACACCTGGCTACTTTTTGTAAGCCATGTGTGTCTGCAATACAGGAATTGATTTACTAGGTTGAGCCAATAGAAGAAGTGAAATTCATTTGCTATTATCCATTTATTAAATGAGCAAAAAAGAAGCATTGCTCTAATGGTTTCAGAAGCACAAAGGCAAAGAGGCATGTTGTTAAATCTTTGTTTCATTTAGATCTCATCTTTTTTCCTTCAGGAGCATTAAGGGGCATAAACATTTTGCTTCACAAAAACGGAGAAGTAAAGTGTGAAATGAAGTGAAATGAAGTGCGATAGAATAAGATGAAGTGAGATAGGCTGAATGAGGATAATTCTGCCAAAGTCATCCACTGAGCTTTGGTAGCTGACACAAAACAGATGGAACTGCATTAAAACCTGCCCTATAAAATGCTTTCTGATATTTGGATACCATTCAGGTAATAAGACTACAGGCTGTTTCCCAGCTGCGATTCAGCTTTCCAGATTTAAAATGTGGTGCTCCTTTGACTGTTCTACATTCAACAAAAAGAATAAAATGTAAGGAGAGAAAATAGAATCAGCTTAGAACAAAGTGGGAATAATTTCATTACAGAATGTCACTGAAGTGTTTACCTACTCTGCTACTGTTTAGATGAATTGTGAAGACCTGGTTCTTCACCCAGGCCGTCAGTGAAGAAAGCAGAGATCATTTCCTTCATCATACTTGCCATTATTTATTATTCATGTTTTACTGATTTTATTGTACTGGGTTTCATTGTTGTGAGACTCTCAGAGTCATTGAGAGTTCAGCAGCATGCAAGTTTAATGCACTATAGTTTTCTCAGCCAGATGTTTAGACTGAATATGGCATTTTTGTCCACTATCACGTCCTTCATAAGGGCCTGGCATAGGCACATGTTATCCAGTGGTGGGTTCCGGATCCCGGTGCAACCGGTACGGTGCAATGGGGCCAGGCATCCATCACATGCATGCACACATCATGTGCACATCATGCGCATGCATACTTACCGCCCGCGATGCTCCAGCTGCTCAGCAGAATGTTGCACAGGCGCCATATGCTCTGCGCACGTGCATGGAAGCCCCGATTGGCTCAAATGCAGGTAAGGAGGGCGGGTGGGTGGGTGGCCCTGTGTAGCACCGTACCGGAATGGTACCTGGTGCTCCCAACAGGCATCGGTATGCCCATACTGGGGTGTACCGGTGGTATTCCACCACTGATGTTATCAGTTTAATAATATTAAAAGTATCATCATAG